GTAGATGGAGACAGCTTTCTGCCATGCCAAAATGGTTGAGGTCCACATTGGTTGAGAAGAATATGACCACGGTCACGGTGGAAGGCAACTCTTCTGGCAGTAACGAGAAGTTCCACACGTGTCAAAGGAGTAAACACAAAAAAACAAACCCCCCCCCCCCCGCCCCAAATGTCAGGATGAACTAAGCTAGAAGCCAAACCCCATCACATGGCTTGAGCATGGTCCTCATGTTGTAACTCTGTCATTTAGCATAATCAGGTCCTCCACTACTCCTCCCCCAAGGAGGTGACAGGGAAACCGTGTCAGCTCTTCAGTACACCAAAATTACAGCTTAAATGACACACAGTCAGAATCTGGCGTAGATGGCGTTTGGCAAACCAGAAAAATACATTATCACACACAATATAGTGCATTGAGCACAACAAAAGATGTTAAACATGCCATTACCTACTCAACTACATTTACTAACTACCACCAAAGCAACAGAAAGAATAAGATTAAAAAAAACTCCATCGAATTAATTAATGACAAAACCATTGGTTAAATTTTTGAAATACTATGCATCACCTCAATACACCCTAACGCACGCTGTATTTGGTTTGAAGGAAAAGATAAGAAACCTATACAAGATTTGTAAAGGTTTTTTAACTATTTCCTTTCTTTCCCTACCTTTTCCTTCAATAATACTGCATGTTTTTTGAATATACAAGTAGTCTCCAGAAAAAAAAAAAGTAAGAATTTGATGAACTTCCTTCGACTTAAATATGCCTTGAGCAGCATAATGGAAGATATTGGAAGTATGGTACCTATCCTATATCATATGTATAATGAGTTCAAATCAGCCTCCCACAAAACTGTCTTCCACAACGTTCCACAGTACATCTTTGTCGTGTATTGGGAACATGAGTTAATTATCTATTTTATATAGGGGTGGTAATTTTTCACTCAATCTGCTGAACCCACATGACCCACCCAGTATCTAACCCGCCCAATCTGTTCATTTACTTGGCGGGTTGTTTAATCCACCCATTTAAATGGGTTGGGTTGGGTTGTGGATAACCGTTGGGTTAACCATTACAAACATTAGTATTAATTCCTTAGTCTTTTTTTTTATTTTCTTCATTTGAATTAAATAATTTATAATTAATGCATTAATTTTCTATTAATTATTGACTAAATTTAGTTTTGTCTTAAATCAACACACTTCATCCAATATAAATCCAAATCAATTTGACCCAAGTTGGACCAGTTCAACGTGGTCTGACCCGATCCAACGTATACCTATCCGGGTCGACCCAAATCAGAAATAGACCTCGAATAGGATGGCTCGGTACCACTTGCTTTGCCCGGTTTGGGTCATTCGGTCCAACCATTATTCACACAGCCCAGCTCAACCGACACAAGACGATCCGGGTCGACCCGAATCCAAAGCGGGTCGGCCCGGGTAGGGCCCGAACCCTAAACCACCCTGCTTGCTTTGTCCGGTTTGGATTGTCTAGTTTGGTTCATATGCATTCAACCCGACCTGAATCCAGCCCGGTTTGATTTACTTCTTTTGACCCGCTTCGGGCCAATTAGTTCGACCTCAAACCTGTGCACAAACCTGATATGAGCTGACCCAAGTCAATCCACCATTGATTGAACCGGTTCGGTCTGGTCCAATTGGATTGAACCGACCCGGTCGGGGTCTGGCTCGACCGAACTGAATCGGTTTAGGCAGGGTCTAGTCCAACTGGACTGATCCAGATCTAAACGGTTCAACCACTCTTGAACTTGATGTGATTACCTTGAAGACAATCCAATTAGATAGTTCAAGTTGGTTTGACCGGTTTGAACCTATGTGGTTTGTCAAATCCAAAACCCAAACATAGTTAAATGACTTTGTTGCTTGTATAAAAATAACATGCATGTAATGTGATTTAAACCTTCACCACTTGTGTAAATAACAATTACTATTACCATCAAGCTACGACTAACTTATTTGTTAAAAAAGGAGTTAGTTTTTTGTTTTAAGTACATAAATATAAGATTAATGGGATTGGGCAGGTTAAATTAGGTTAAAGTAGGTTTGAGTTGAACCCAACCTATTTAATTTTATATAACTGAATCATTAATGGATTGGTGGATTAAATGATTTAGGTTAAAACTCAACTCAAACCAAACTCAACCCAACTCGCCCGATTACCACCACTAACTTCATATAATATAATCTAGTGTAAAAACACATGTTATATAACCATAATACATCCTGATTTGGATATAACTTTTATGAACTATACGAAACCCAAGACAAATATCTGTTCACGTAACATAGATTTGGCAAGCCGTAAGCCTTGATAAATGACATTTAACTTCAAAAACTAAATATATATTCGACAAAATCATAGTGAATGAAATATACATAGGGGCAACATGGGTCGGGTCAGCCGGAATCCAACCAGCAAAAGTCAGATTGGGTCAGATTAGGTTGAAATTTGGGTTAGGATTGGAGCTTAAAAGTATGAACACGACTTACCTTTGGGTTGCGTTAAGATTGAAACTTTGACCAATCCAACTTAACTTCATATTTATATTTATAATATTATATAAATATGTATTTATATATAAATATTTTTATATTATTTATATATATTTGAATAACATATATTATATTATATTATAGGCCAGTTCCAAACTGGGTCTGAAGTGTTAGGCCCAAGCCTGACCCAGAATTTTGCGGACTTGATGGAGCTGGGCCAGGCCAAGAATGATCACACCCAAACCCAAAAACTTTGGGTTCGCATTATCTGGGGCCTGTTGTTATAATTTTAATTTAGATTTGTTATAATTTTTGGGAGCTGCTCATGTTCCATTTCTCTCTTTGTTTATTTGATATTAATGCTTCTGTTCTACATCTTCTATGCTATGCCTCAAAATGAAAGCTTCAAATCTTTCTTCGGCTTGCAGGAAGCATGTCGATTCATTAGTAAACCTTAAATAGCCTTTATCTCATGAGATGTCTCGCAGCCGGGCCACGAACAGTCCCTCGTCCAAATTGCATGCAGAGTTGGTCATCTACAAGGGAAGAGATAGACAGTGCAAGGAAAGATGGGAAACTTCCAAGTTCCATCAGCTGTTCAGGTTTCTGACTTGGCTTTGACTTCAAAGAGTTGGATTACACGTATCACAAATCACAAGCAAAAATGTTTTAGTTTCAGGAAACATCATGAAGAATCAGAGTTCATAATGGACACCGATAGCGATCTAGACAAGGTTGCATTAACTGGTCGACAAACAGAAAATGCAGCAAAGTGTTGGATGCTCTAAGATGATTGGCAAGTCATGGGAGTATTATGGGGCCGTGGAGTTAGTTCTACTTGTTTTAAGGTAGAAAACTAAAATAAGAGAGAGAAATGTGAAGTTGGAAGCCAAGGTTCTTGAATTTATGTTTCTGCTAATCAATTTTGACCTTGCTCAACTTGTTGTTGGCCAACCAACTTATGGTGGCTCAGTTGGTCAGTTCTCTAGCTGGTTGTAGGAGAGGAGAGGCCGGGGATTAAATCCTGATGTCACCAGGGTTACTAGATACCCTTGCTAGAACCTTGGTCTAGAAGTTCCAACTTGACAATATCGTTGTTTGGAGGTCCCAATGGATCTCATTTTTCTAGCTTGCTTGGTTTGATGCAAGTGTCGGTCGTATCAGCTTTCGCTGCCTCAAATCCGAGGACTGAATCCAGTATGAAATAAAGATTACAATTCAAGGAAACTGCTTTCCCTTCACTCTTAAGATTGAATTCTAGCGAATTGAACACAAGTTGTCTGATGGAAATCTCTATTCAGTTAATACTTTGTTGGGAATTGAAACTGCTGCTGATGGAAATCTCTATTCAGTTAATACTTTGTGGGAAATCTCTATTCAGTTAATGCTTTCCCTTCAGTTAATACTAGAATAAGACAATGAGTGAATGACTCGGGCCCACATTTGAAACGAAAATGTTAAGGGCGTTTGGGGTTGCTTATTGGTCTCCTGATTTTCTCCTCCATTTGCTTGCCGGTTGAATATCTGTATATTTTTTACCATGTTGCTTACATAATTTCGTATGGATTTTTAATTGAGATTTACTTCCGTGGAACATTTGTAGGGTTAAATCCATGCTTTGAAATTCATGCTGTAGCATGGTGGCTTTACTGTAACCATAGTAAACATGTTATGCATGTACATATTTTTGTATTGAAACGTTTCAGATGCCACCAGCAAGAAAATAGATATTGGCATATTGTTCTCTGTCAAAATAAGTAGCTTTTATTTTATGTGCGCTAATTAATCAAAACCAACCACCATGAGCGTCATATATATAATAGTGGTCACTTGGAAAAGAACCTTTTCCTAGTTGTTACCCATCTTACCCATGTAAGATGTATGTAACAGAGCATCCCTATACAGATGAAAAATTCTGGGCAGTCTGACAGTCTGCACTGGTTGTGTTAATTTAAAACACCCAGGAATCTTCCATCTAGCAGCTATCAGCGCAGATTGTTACGGAACACAGAAAGTCTCCAATTGTTCCTTTTCTCCGCCCTCTCTCTGTTTACAAAATTACAAGGCATTTCCGCCAAAAGCCATATCCATCGATGTACTGGGAAACCCAGTATGGACTACAAATTCATGGAATTAATGTGATATGACCCTGCAATTCATATTCATCAGTGGGTACACATGTAATTAACTATGTCAATATTTATTCTCCTCACGCCAAAAGTTTGGCTGGAAACTTGGACATAGCCATCTCTAACCCGAGCCCGACCAAAAAGTGTGCAGAGATGGTGTTACAAAGCTTATGCAGCTCAACTGACAATCTGATTGATCATGTCTGAACACTTTAATCTCCAGTTCTCCATGCACGCGGGAATATGGAATGAGCCCAGATACAGTAAGGCATAAGCAGCAGAATACACCGTTACAAATGCTTTTAACCTCAAATAAAACATGTCAAAACTGTAGAAATTTGTTCCAAACAGACTGAAAAGATAAAGTGAATGACACTGCATAAAGATGCATTAAATTCAACATTCTTACATAAAAATGCAAGTCGTGAAGATGCATTATAAAAATTCGTGGGTCTACAATCTACATGCAAGGTTGTTATTGACCAGGCACCATATTAATGAAATTAGAAGAACCAAGGTTCGATGAGGGGTGAATATCAGAATCTTCTCAAGTAGATAACGAACGTTACCTACTGCACTGCATATTTTGCCTCCCTAACCTACCTGCCTTTGATGATCAAAAGAGAAGCAAGCGTATCACACTAACGGGAAAAGCCTACCCTGCATGATAATACTGCACTAAACTCGATAATTTACAACAAATACTTGTCTCCTGTCTATATTTACAGCTACCTGTTCTCCATGTAACATCTCACAACAGGTTATTTCTTGACCATCCAATCCTTCTACTCTACCATGGACCAGTTTGTGTCCTCCTTAAGCATTGCTTTTTATTATTTCCCCATTGCTGATTTATCATCTCCAAAACCTGCGAGAAAACAAAATTAACAGGGAAGAACAGATAAGCAAAAAAAAAAAAAAAAAAAAACCACTGGCCTCACTATTAAAATTAGTTAAAGAAGGCACGAGATTGATGTTTCTTCATGTGGGGGGGTAAAGCAACTAAAGATCATATTGCCACATGAGCAAGACTGAAAGGTTTTTTACTTGCAGACACAAAACTATAGCCTCTTTTTGTCACCTTAAAAAACTATATTTGGTTGTTTATCACATAGAAGGCCGGTGTACTTTACTGGCCTTCAGCAAAAGAAAAGGATCATTCTGGATAACAAGGGAAAATTCATATGGATCATTCTGGAAAATGACAATTAACACAAAAAGATATTTTAGTCCCTTGTCAATCCTAGTTATGCAGGGATCACGAACAGTATCTTTGCTCTGCTCCATATTGGATATGGCCAAAGCAACTTTAATCTGGATGAAGCTAGGAGAGTGAACAACCTAGTAATTAATCTCTTTGACACCAAGAGATTTCCTTGCCAAGTAGAATATGCAAAAAAACTTGCGAACAACAATCTTCTTTCAATTGATTGACACTGCATTTTAGGTAATTTAACGTACATTTGCATATTGATTACAAGCATTCTTGGTTATGCCAACTTGTACATCAATTGTGGTCCAACAACTAATATGTCTGTCTCCCAATGAACTCTGTATGCTTGATAGGACACTCGAAGAACATCATGGTTGGTTAGCCTGTTGAATCTCACTCATTACCCTAGTTAAATTAGAGATATTTTGTCATCCTTCCTTCTTTGAATAAGCTGAGATTAACATTGAATGCCCTTGTTCAAAGATGAGTTCCTATGGAGGCCAACCAATTGATTGTGGTCTAGCTAGGATGGGAGTTGGAAGGGCATTATTCTACAGTGGTAGCTCCATGGCTACGTAATTCTTTGGTTGGGCGTGGGGCTCTGTTACATACTTTGTGCCCAAAGAAAACAAAGAATGATTGGGGTGGCATATAATTGTTTCCTTCAAAAAGACAAGGAAATGTGATGGTGCTACTTACATGATGACATGAATTGTTCATTGGCAGACATAGCCAAAAGCCATAAGGGCTTTGGCAACATGACTTGTTCATTGACAGAAGTGTGATGGTGCCACTTACATGACAACATGATTACTTAATGTGAAGAAAAAGAGTTAAGTCTATAAGTGAAAGGTCCATAAACCTGATTTTTCTGCATTTGCATAATTTCCGCCTGCAACATTTAAAGTATGGTCAAGCAGGGTTTGGCACAAGCCAAACTTTTTAATCTTCTAACTATACAAAAAATTCAACTACATCAATTAAAAATACCTGTTTCTTCTGCAATTCTTGGTTCTCATCTTTAAGTTTTGCAACTTCTGCTTCCAATTCCATGGTATATGCCTGACAGTTGCAGAAAATGAAAAGAAAAGAAAAACACATAAGCACATGATTTATAATTAGAACTAGGGCAATATAGCCTGAATGGAATGGGTATTTCCACTGTTCAGGTTTGCATTTCAATGTCATGTTATAACTGATGGACATGCCACTACTCCAACATTTGCACTATAAACTCAGTCACTCAACACATGGTAGACCAAGTTTAGATACACATGCATGTGTACATGGTGGTATGATATCTGGCCATTATAAAACTACTTATATTATTTCATACATTATCATTGCACCTGCTTTACATTATAATATTGTTTCTTAACATAATAAAATTCCTTTTCCACATAATTACTCAGGGTGCAGCACCTTCATACTATAATTTAATCAGAATATCTACATGTTAGTAAAGAAGTGTATTCCTCCCTTTATTATTACATAGGTGCATGTGGAGTACTGAATGTGGAAGTGGACAAATGAAGGGGGAGTGGATGTGTGTTTTCAAATAACTAACAATTATCTAAACTTATTCTCTTTTAAGTTATTTTGTTAATTGTTATAAAACCTTATTCATTAAGTTTAGATTCTTATTAGAGTAAGGGAAAACTAATGGTCTAAGCAAATGCAAGTTGAGCCACAACAAGATTCTAGTAGGACAGCTTTGGTTACTTGTTAGTAATAGATAAAGCAACATAGACATGTAGAACAGTTTCACCAGACAATGACACATAAGCATGGATTCAACCCCAACTTTCAAGGTTACTATCCCACACTTGAATGGCATTTATTTCAGCAATGGTCTGAACTCTAAAGGGGTGTTTGCCAATGTGCATGGTTTTGTTTTTCAATACAAAACAACTGCACGATTTTGCTGATGTTCAGTTTTGTTTTGTTTTAAAAAACAGAATCATACATATTGGTAAGCCTGTGGCGATATTGATGTGAAAATCGTTTGTCTCACTTAGGTATAGGGGCAAAAGACTAATTGAACAGTCTAATAGCTGGTTCCCTTTAGGGTATGTTTGGTTTGAAGGAAAAGGTAGGGAAAGGAAGGAAAAGACAGGGAAACCAATACAAGGGTTGTAAAGGTTTTCCTACATTTCCCTTCCTTTCCTTACATTTTCCTTCAAACCAAACATAGCCTTAAAGTTTCCCTTAGGATAGCTGGAGCCCAGATGTGAGTTCTATTGGGTAAAGCCAATGATTAGAGGCACTGAGGGTAGGATGGCATGGATTCTCTATTAAGCTGTGCCACAGAATCGACAGCTCCAAGTGGGCCAATGCAGTTATTTTGTTTTAATACAAAACACTACAAGATTTTGCTGATGTGGCAGTTGTTTCATTTTAGAAAAACATAATCATACATATTACCAAGCACCCCCTAAATCTATGTTATCTATGTGGAACCTGATATATGACTCCCCTAATCATTTTCTTGTTAGATTAACCAAGCATGAATTTTTTTTAACTGAATGCCCTACTTCAAAAGAAAAAAATAGGTAGAAGATCCTTTCAAGCATTAAGACAAGCACAATAAATGTAATGCAAATTTAATCCATCAAAAAACACATGAATGTAATAAGTTGTTTCACATTGCAAATTCAACTTTTGACTGGAAAAGAAAGCACAAAATAAAGTTATTCTGAAGTAATTTATTTTGGATACATAACACAAAAATGGAATCTTTAAATAATGTCAACACTACTTATACTATTTCTTTTCATACAAACAGGGATAGAATGCAAAATCTCACAATCAGAGAACAATAAACCTACATTTCCAATCCATTCAAATAACTAAATCACACAAACAAACAACTTCAGTTATTGAATTCATATCAAATAAACAACCCTTCTTTGGCAAGCCCTTGGTCATGAGGATTATGACAACTTTAATCTACTTTAAATACTTATATTCATTGCGATGTGGATACTGGTCATCAGAGAATCCAAACTCCATAAAAGAGGCTTTGCGTATGGTGTGCTCTCATCTTTCTTTAGGTTCTCTTTCTGACAAGCTTAAATAAATCGCATGCTGGTGACCTCTGCAGTTGAGTGTCCAATTTTGAGGTATTATGTTTGAACTACATAGTCAAGTCTCTCCGGACACAAATCTTATAGTTTTCAATGTTTAGTCTTGAGAATGGCTTTTAGAACAGTCTAAGTTGCGCAAGATTGTTCCATCCTATCAAGTGGTTTGCCACTTTGTCTTCATGGCAAATTTACTTCAGGGTTGATCAGTAAACTACTAGCTTCTTCCAATGTGAATAATAGCGCATGCAGATAGGCATGTGATTCGATATAGGTAAAAAATAAGCACCACATGCACATCATTATACATACTCGTATCTAAGCTACAGTTGAAAGAACAGAGAAAATGCTGAGAGAGCATATGAATAAGTATAAGCTAAAAAGGATTTTGGATACTTTCAGGAAGTCACCTGCTTTCGAGCGCGTGATCTTGCAGCTGACTCTCTGTTCTTAATCATTCTTCTCTGCCTCCGCTCCACCACCTTCTCCACAGCTCCGCTGCATCTTCTTCCTCTAAGACCTCCATTAAATGGATAAGGTACTGGCGACAAGGAAGGTGTATCGCCATTGCTCTTCCCAAGTCCATCAGAGGATAACTGGTTTGCTGGAGATCCTGTTGCAACTGTAACAGCCCCAGCCCCTATACCAACAGTGCCCATTCCTCCACCCTGACCAAAAGAGTTATTCATCGTTGAATCTGCAATTCCACCTCTAATAGCAGAGCTAGACAGCTGGTTAGTGTTTCCTAAATGCATTGGGGAGGCATAAGCCACCGTGGGTTGCTTTGGGAATATTCGTTGTAGGTACTGTTGCTGCTGCTGCAGCGACGGCTGACAAGATCCGACCCCGTTTGTATTGATGGCTAGACTAGGAGACTGAGAATGAACCGTATTGATGTTCTCAGTGGCGCAATTAGACACGATTCCGTTAGTCCGTCCCGGCTGTGGAAACCCAAGAGCTAGACTGATAATGTCATTGGGACATGATATCTCCCCACAGAATCCGCTATTATTCAGTCGTCCAGCTGCTTGAGTATCTTCTCTTACTACCCCTGCTTTGACCAAGAACTCTTCCAGAGTCATCTCCCCTAAAGTTTGCTGCCTCTGCTGCAAATTTGATCCCCCATTGCTATTTCCGTCCTTGCCACCACCACTTTCTTTAAATATGTCTCTCCAGACTTCATCAACTGTCTTCTGGCTGAGAGTCCGAGGCAAAGTTAAGGAACCCTGCCTCTGCAGGCCCCCGCCAGGGAACCCACCTTCGGCCCCTCCAAAGGAGGCCATGGCTTGAGCCTCTTCAGCGGTCCATATATTCTTGAGAAATTCGTCCATGTTCATGGAGCCAAAATCCTTGCCAAGGCCACCCATGGTGTTCTGGAACTCATCGAAGGTTAACGAGTAGATGGAAGGCTGTCTGGCCAACAGGAAATTTCCCGACAGCCTTCCACTGCCGCCGCTGCCTTCCGGTGGTGGTACATCACCAGCGTTCTTGAAGTTCATCTGAGATCCCTTTCAATAAATAGAATTAACCAGTACTGTTAACTAGCAGATGTCATATATCCACCGAGCTAAGAGAGATCGAGTGGAACCACTAATTCTTTGTTCCTCTCTTGTATCATGCGAGTTGAAATCCAAACTTCAGAGAAGCAGGAAATTTACAGATGATTTAGAAAGAAATTCAAAGGAAAAAAGAAAATAAAAAATAAACTTGTGATCTTCGTCATTATCTGATTGTCTCAGTGTTTTACAACCATAACCTCACAACAGCCAGAAATCGTTTCAAACACGAAACTATCAAATACAATTTTTAGAAAAAATACACACGAAAAAAATCCTAACCTTATACAATTCTACTCAATTCAACGAACCATGCGAAAAAAAAATAACAACAAAAATGAACTTGAAGCGAAAAAGTCCAGGAAAATAAACAAAACATGAAGAATCAAACAACAAAACGGCAACACAGGTTGAAAACTCGAAAAAAAAAAAGAAAAATCTTTTCCAATTCCACGAAAACAAACTCACAATGCGTTTTTATTTTGCAGAGCGTTTCGCACGAAAAAGGAAGAAAAAGCGAGAGAGAAAAAAAAAAAAAGCAGAGCAAGACAGTCAGTGATGGAGCAAATTCTTACCGGTTTTTCGATTCCTCTCTCTCTCTTTTTTTTTTTTTTTTTTCGTTGGTGTGAGTGTAATTTTGCTTCTCCTCTCTGCTTTGATCGACAAGTGTCGCCTGTAGGCCTTCCACGAGTCGGCATGTAAGGGATCCAACTTCCTTTATAAAGCATTAAATTTGTCCTTACCCATTAAACTGTGAAATAGATATTGAAAAAGGATTTGTGAGATTTGATAACGTGGTCCAATGATGTTAAAGCTGTAGCACAAGATGTGACATCCAACCAGTAGAATTCCGCTATATGTAATGATTTCTACCGTCCACCTATACTTTCCAGTAATTTTGGATGATCTGTATTTTTCAATTACAGTTTTTAAAAAACACGCGACCTCTTATAAAAAAAAAGGAAAAAACACGGGACCTTAAAAGTACGCCTTTTTAGGGTGGGTGGGGTGAGAATAGGGACTAGGGAAAACTGGTATGGGCCGTATGGCTATTGGCCTTGTTTTTGCAAAGAAAAATCACACGGGAATCGTGGGAAGAATAGTGGAATGGAATGTGATTCCACAGGTAACAACACTACAGGGTTTTTTTTTTTTGTTTTACTTTGCAGGCTAAGACCCTGATCCGACCAGGCGAGCCGGTCTAGCCCAAGCAGGAAGATGACTCGAGAGATACCACATCACGGTCGCGGCACAGCATTCGAGTAAAGCTGCAATTCTGCAAATGGATCGGATATAATCTGATTTGTCGTATTTGGATATCCGTTTACCCATTCATGTTGAATCGAATTCGAATCTATGTTTCGCATAGGCATATTCGTCCTCGTCCGTCCCGAATCAAATCCGATCCATTTACCCTAACCTAATTCGGCTTTAGTCATTTGTGGACCCTGTGTTTACGGGATTTTACATCAAACTGATTTACCCTAACCTAATTCGAATCTATGTTTGTGGACCCTAATCCGATCCATTTGTGGATTTACGGGATTTTACATCAAATTGATTTACCCTAAGTCCCTAACCTAATTCGAATCTATGTGGACCCTAATCCGATCCATTTACCCTAACCTAATTCGAATCTATGTTTCGCATAGGCATATTCGTTCAACACAACCCATCAAACCAGAGGCAATAACGGGTCTATTTTACATCAAACTCTAAAATAAAAATTTAAATGCTCATTGACTTGGTTGAAAACACATCAGCCCAAACTGTCAAAGTGATGAATCATTCAAACCATTGGGTCACGGTTTGAACCGATCAAGCTCTTCAGTTTCCCTCTTTTTCTTTCTTGGTTAAATGGCGCCACACTTCATAATAACCTTGTGTATATATGTCAAATCATTTAAAAAGAAGAAAGTGTGAGAAACAAAGAGTGCGGATTTTTTTTAAAACATTGAAAAGGTAAAATCCATTCATTTATGCACAGATTACAAAGTCAAAATAAATAATCAACAAAAGTGTGTGCAGATGACCCCACTAGGCCAATACTTGGAAAGGCTAACTTAGCATCTCTGAAGTAGGAGGCACAAGGACAAACCCACAAAAAACGCAAGCTCTCAATGGTTATCCAACAATGCAAACAATGTTATAGAAACCAAGAGAGGAGATTAAACACACATGTGCACATACAATTTGAATGGGCCTGGTTCAAATACCCGAGCACAAAGCAGTGTAAACTTCGGCCAACCCGAATTGCACCCCTATTTATATATGAGAAGATGCCCTAATATTCTGATCGAAGCTCAAATCTTTTGACAACTTGACTTATTTAGAACACCAATACACATTTAAAGTCATTCGTTTGCATAAATCGATCTTGGGACTTGCTGCATTAGCACCTGAAAACCCTAATTTTAATTCTAAATGTAAGTTCAGTTTGGAAAGAGTATAAATATAAATACATATAAAATAATGCAAAATACAAGTTTTAGCACTTTATATATTTGTATTTGTACTCATTTCAAACTGAGCTTAAGTTAGAAATGCCCACCCCGTATTAATGGGTAGTGATACTTAGCCTCGAAACTTTGTTTTGTGACAAAGACCCATTGAACTTTTAGATTCTACCAGTCTTTGGTTCCATTATTAGCATTCTGTCAGTCAGTTAAATTCATAGAATATTTTATTAAATATTTTTTACGCCCTAAACCATCCTTTCTTGTTTTTCCTTATTTCTTGAGATCATTTTTAGGAGTGAAATTAGGGAGGGTTACGGTTGAGATTTTGTCAAAATATCAATGGGTCCAACCTTAACCCTAAGTCTAAAAAAATATAAGATGTCAAACTCAGGCCAACCCAAATTGCACCTTTAATCATTTTGCCCTTCTTAACTTAAATCTTAAATGTCACATGTTTCTCTCAACTTTAAACAAATTGTGCTTTAGAGTTACTGTTTATTCTATATGATATTAGTGTAAATAAAGGGTAAAGATAAAATTAACATTATACAACCAAATTTGATTATGAATACACCAAAATCAACAAAAGCATCCCTGTGTCTGACTTACAATAGTATAGATGAGAACGAACTATAACCACACAACCCCTTTATATTGGCATGCGTGCCATTTCATAACCATGAGTCCCACTTTATGACCTCAGCTCTACGAAATCAAGACAAGCATCCCGTCTTGATGTATCATGTATATTGTCTAGACCGTTGAAAGTTGTCTAGTTTATTCTCAAATTCTTAACAAATAAATAGTGTCGCACTAGTACGTAGAAATAGGGGTGCTTACGATTCAGTTAATGGAATCATAGGTATTATTTTGAAATCAAATGGGTAGCACTGGTTGATCGGTTTCGATTTTTTATATTTATAACATATATTATATATATATATATAATATTATATTATAAATTCCATAATATATTAGAAATAATAAATATATAATTATAAATATAATATACAAATATTTATATATAATATATAAATAACATATGGCATATATTAAATATATATATATATATATTGATTGATACAGTAAATCGTCGATTTTTTTAGGTTAACTGAAAACTGAACCAATCTTTTATTTTTCAGAAATACCAAACCAAAATCGAATTAATCAATATGGTTAATCACAATTTTCCGTTTTTTATGAGCACCTCTATATGGAAATGATAGTTTTTCGTGGGACAAATGAGAAATGGTAAAATTGGGGTGTATTTTGTAATCAAGGTCTTTGGATGTATTTCGTAATTGGGGTGTAACCTTCAGCTAAAACTTGAAATCAAGGTCTTTTGAATGTAGATTTTTGGCTCACTTCATCCACTTCAAGGTGGGCCACATTAATACATCAAAGGCTGTGATTCACGGCTGCTTTAGCCCGAGGCTATACCAATGGGCGTAGCAGATATTTCTCCAACGAAAAACCTCATCTGATGCCAATACAAAAGGTTATATATAGGATCACAAAATTTTCTCATAATCTTGAAATCCCACGTGCCAGATCTACGGTCTCTAGACAAAAGGTTTAACGGATTTCACTAGGATCAACAATTTACGCGGGCCTAAAAATTTGTTGATTAGCTACTTAAAGGGCTGTCTGGCTGGGTATACTCTTCATCTCCATCTATCTCTCAGATGCATTTATTAATTATTGGTGGAGCAGTAGCTCAGAATTTATTTAAGAAAAGGGCAGCTGTGAATCCACACCTATTTAACTTATAATCCATATTACCACATGAGAATTGGTCCTCATCACTAGGCCTTCTATAACCATTTAAATACGGTTATGTCCTCCGACGTGCGGCTGCAAGGGTAATGAAGTGGGTGTAAAGATTACTTTTGTGAGAGAAAAACCAGTCTAGGTTTACAATATCATCTTCCACCTTAGTGTCTCTCTAATCAGACTCTAGATCTGGCCTATAACATTATTCATGCAAATCTGCTCACAGTATGTTTCAATCGTACATTGAAAACATCTCTCATATTTGAATGTTGTATTCATTGAGATATTTGGTGTGATGAATAAATCCCAATTACTTTAATCACCGCTTATTCTGCGCAATGCTCGACAAATCTGTATATCTTGGAGTAGCAATGCCAATATTCTCATTCAGAAATCACGCACCCTTGTCTAATTCTAGTTTTATTCCAAAATCTTGCAAATGAAGCATGAGAGAGGATGATTCTTCTTTTATGATTGTTTCCCATGATGACAGAAGATCTGAGCTCTTATAACGGATGATAGAACTAAACACATTAGGCTTAGGTGACTGCAAATGAACTTCTTGCATTAATTTGGATGCTTAGATTCGTACCAATCGTAAGAATTTTCTAATCCATTTCTACTTTCAATATAATCCTATGATAATTAATATAATGAGTTCATCATGTGTTAGTGCTTTTTGCACCTTTTCTTTTTCCCTTGTTGAATAAAATTTATTTTAGTGTAAGATTAAATGTAAATTGGAGAAATGTGCAACAAGGAATAAAAAGGCTGAAATTAATTTATAATACGAATCGTAGGGTGAAAAAGAGGAACACGGACTCACGGAGGTTTCTTTCGGTCAAAAAACATAAAAGCCATCACTGATGACAGTCTTTTAATTAATTTGACTTATTTTGTGTGTGAAAACTGAAAACTGAAAAGAGATGAGACGCATGTGATGATGTAATAAAAAAAGGATGGTGAGATGATGAATGAATGAGCAAGAAAAGTCAAAACCAACCACCCATCCGTCCATCATCCGCGCATCGCGTGAAGGGGATAAGATGAGCAGCAGCCTCATCTCGAGACCCCACCGATCCCAATTCCCAATCAAACTGAATTGAATGGGGTTTGGTTTATGTCTTATGATGATGAGGATGCATCATCGATGTTTTAGTGTTTGGCTGGCACCGGCCGGTTGTGAATTTGCTGTTGGCAGGAGGCCGGTGCTCTGTTGCATTCAGGTTCAGGGCGGTGGTGGTGCTTTTGGAATTTGGTGTCGTAATATAACTCCGGACACTGCCCTGTGCAAGCAGGGACGACTGCAGCTGGTGCTAGCTAGTGCTGTTAGTGAT